GGGGGCTGAGTATAGCACGCATAGTGTTCTCTGTAAGCCTCAGATACCACTGTTGGGTCATTCGTCGGTTCTCCGTTTCTGTCCCTCAAGGAGAACGCGGATGGGTTGTTTCTGTGGCGATGTCTCATATATTTGAACAAGACGTTTTTGTTTTTTCGAGCGAGGTCCAGCATGGTGGCTTGTTTTTGTATGTTCCATTGGCGGATTTCTGAGTCACAGCTGTTCCGCGTTTTACGAAATGCCAGGTCATCTTCTGTGTCACCTATAGTCAACTTTTTGAAAGAGAGTTGGGACATTTTTTCCAGAAGTCGCCGGAGCCTTTTTGGCAGCCTGCAGTTTATATGAGTGCGTGCTGGTTTTTTGGGACGAAAGTCGCGTCAGCCTTGTGGACTTTCTGGACAATGGTCCTATATAGTTCTTCCACTGGAGCTGGTTTCAGTGTGAATTGTTCAAGAAAGATGCGCATTCCTGAGAAGTCTGAACGGCAGAATTCTCGTCATCACGTTTAAGGTTCGGGAATTCCGGCCCAATAGCAGATGAACTCAAAGGACTGCACACAGTGGTCGCTATGTCCCAGTGGGGCGTTAATTGTTACCTGATCAACGAAGTGTCCTTCGCTGGTAATGACTAAATCCCTGAGGGATGGTAGTTGGTCTGCGCGGTATCTGGTGAATGCAGCGAGATGTCGAGTCCAGATGCTCTGTTGAACGATTTCAATCAGCGGCGCTGCGAAAGGTCCGCCTGATTCGACGCGCTGTAGATCCATACAGGAAGCCTTTGGGGTGTTAAAGTCACCTACCAGCAGATGAGTGAAGCGGTAGTTGTCGTGGAGTTGCTCAAGTGTTTGTATGAGGAATCGGTCATCTTCAGGGAGACCCGAGAGGCTACGGTAGAACACAAAGTCGGTTGAAGCGTAAACGGACTCATCGTAGCACACGGTCCCGCTGCTCTTGGTCTGACTGCTTCTCTTCTTCCTTCTTGGCATGAGAGCACCCTTTTTTACTAAGTTCCAGCTAGCTCAGCGCCCGGGATCATTAGAACACATTAAAGTACATTAGCCTGAACACCACGTAAAAGTGACAGCTATGGGTTGAGCAGTTAAATTGTAGACCCAATTTATTATCTTGTTGGACCACTTTTTATCGAAATGTTGTTTTTCTCTAAATTAACTCCGTCCATTAGTCAACGGAATCCTTCTAATAGGAAGGTGCAACTGGGTGAGAAACGTTCACGGCTTACTCTCCAACTCACATTGTTATTATCGCACCAAATTGCTCGACGACTGGCTTCCACATCGACTAAATTAACACCTTACGCAGCCACCCTTGCTTGAGCCTTCCTTCTACTCTTTGGCCGAAGTTCACTGGAAACCCTGGGACGCCATGCTTACCACAAGCGCTAGCCTCTTGCACTGTATGCCTCCGAGACAAGTTTGTTATAATAGTCCGAGGCCTTTCTTTCCATTTAACCAGAGCGGTGTTGCGTTGCAATTTCATTTTGTCTCGCCTGTAGGTTCAACAAACGCGTCCACGGCGCCCTTTGAGTAGCATCCGTTGTCACTGCCTCTCCACAAGCTGTATTTGATACTTATTACGCTTAACGTCGCTATAGCGGTTCGTAACAAACATGCTCATAATTATGAACAGCTCAACTCAGGCTACGGGCCAGAGACTCACAACTTATGGCGTATTTTTCAAATTCCTTGAAAGTATTCAATCGAGTCTGGCGTGTTGTCTCCACCACAAGATTTAGACCTACCTTTTCAATGGGGTGTTTCAGAGTGTTTCTGTCAGATAAAACAGTTCGAGTGAACGTAGGCCTGTCTCCTGCGCCAGATTTCACTGGATTTCCTCAAGGTTGAGTTTTGGGATCACCTTTATTTCTGGTCTTCGTGACTAACATTCTATATGTTCTGTCGAGTTCAGGTCTACTTTTTGCTGATGACTTGAAATGTTGTACCCTCCAAATAGGTTCAGACGCTGAACAGAACTGGATGTTAGGCAGGGACTTTTAGTAAATGAGGAAGGGCACGTACATGTGTTATTTGGGGAAAACTCAGCAAAATCCTATTTTGTGCATGACCTAAGTGAAACAGGAGACATTATGAGGGTGATTTGGCGCACCTTTCCGTACTTCACACACATTCAGATATAATTGATGCGCCCAACTCATCGAAAGGCGACCCAGTGTCTGCCCTGGTTGTGACGATCGGCTGACCCGCCAGTGAGGACTTTCAAACCAGTTAGCGTCGCGCGCGTTTGAAAACACTGGGCAACTTTTGGTTGCAGCTCTGAGGTTTTGGGATAGGTGTTTTATTTATCGGTTGATCGTCACAATCAGATCTACTTGTTCGCCTTTCGATGAGACAAGCAAAGCGATAACATCGCCAAAGCGTGAACACGTTCGCCTGTTTAGATGCGTCCACGTGCATTGGTGGAGGGGTGGTAGAACGCTCCTCTCGCATGTAACATGTCAAAAGTTCGAATCCCGACATGGCCTTTGGATTTGCACTGCTGATGAGTTCTGCTGAGGCCTACATGGGACAAGTTCGTGAATGTATCAATCAAGTGCTTCACTAATAGACGCTGAATGACGCTCCCCTTAGTAACGCGTCCAAAAAGATGCTACAAAAAATTTGCCGGCCCCAAATCCGTGGATTAGTGACCGCGGCTTGCGGTGCCTGACCTCTCTCCAATGGAGCATAGTCGCCTTCAAGGAGAAAAACTTACGTATGCCGCGTTTGATCGATGTTCAACCTACGGGTGTTTAACCAAAGACTCAACTAGCACACGGCCAGGATATGGTAGAAATATTTTCTAGAGCGCAATATCATTAGACAACAACTTTTCTCACACCGGGCAGCTGAGGCGTGTGGCAACAATTCTCAGACGGTTGCTCACGCTACAGGAATACTTATAAAAAATAAGCGTTTTTTGGGTGAGCCCACGCAATAAAACGCTCACTGTCCGATCAAAGAACTTAAAGGGCAGTGCTATACCGTTCTTGTTTGTGCATCTTTGGTGAAAATAAGCGGGTGAACGACAAGAACAAGTGCGACCAAGATCTCCTAAGTGAATGCCTCGATGTTGTGTATCATTCCGTGAATCCATGAATACCCAGTTTCACCTTAAAACATACTGCTTGCCATTTGCCACCTCTGCAGATGTCCCCTTTCCTTATCTTCACTCGAGTCTCTGGATTCCCCGGTCAGCAACTCGGCTGTCCGAGGTCACTCGTAGCCAGGAGCGGTTTTCACATGTACTTCCGGTCAATAGGCTACACAACCGAAGTATTCGTACGCAGATCTCCACTGATTTCGCCCTGTTTTCTAGAATTTTCAAGCATTCCTTACGTTTGCCCTTCCCGTCGTTCTTTTGGCATCCACCGTCTCTAAATTGTAACCGCCTTATATGGCCTAAGCGTGCATGCTCTCTACAGTTTACACGTAAGCCTCAGTATTGTCGAAAACCTCGTGTTCATGGCTCCAACACTCCGGTTGCAAAGCAAGATGGCAGCTTTCCGCTTCTGTCCCTTCAGAAGGTTGTCTTGCAGATCTTGTTTCAGCGAGTTGATCCAGTGACCGGTTAGTGCCACTGCTGCCATTGGCACATTCATTTAAATACTCTTAAAGTCGTTTATTTTGCATCTGGTTATTCGTTTAAATAGAATGCTAGTAATTATTTCGTGTTGCGCCTCGAAGTAAAATTGCGTGTGCCTTGATGCATTACCTAAATTATAAACCAAACTTTCTCTTATTGTTGTTCTCCCATAAGAAAACTGACCGATGATGTCTACCAGCATAGTTTTATTAAGCACAAAATTTCAACTAGTCACTACAACGGTCGAAAAGCCCAATGTTTATCTCTGCTGGCTTGTTCACTATTTAGGTGCCCTTCGTTTTCCGCGAAGGACTTGGCTCAAACTGCACACCCTTCCCGAACAAAACTTACGTGACCTATGCCGGCGTTTCGGGCAACATAAATGAACCTATTTCAGCCTAGCGGAGAGGGTCACTGCTTTTATGTGCCATTCAAGGGAACCAGCCCGTGCACACAAGGATATGTGGGAACGTTGTGGCGGAATGCGAGCCTTTCCAACTGATACCTGTACAAAGCAAGGAACAAGGTCCGGAAAATCTTTGTTTGAAAGGGAAACGTCCATCGATTGTAAACATCATTGCAGTCTGAGGGAAGAGACTTTCAAAATCAATGCCCTCAACGAGGGCACTCAATACGATCTTTCGACCACTAATCAGTTTGTTTCTCCAAGAGCTTGAGTGTGGTTGTGTAAAGTTTGAAGTGGTTTGGCGCTATGGATGATTATTATGAGGATTCAAGTGCATATCCTCGGCTGTGGTGTGCAATCACTCTACCAATGCAATTCGGTCCAGCCGGTCGGTCCATGAGCAGGTTAGGCCATCTGGCGATAACGTCGTCGAAGTAGTTTGGCGTTCACTAGCTATTTTTCTTCACCTCTTTATTGTACTGGAAAGTTGGGTGCGCTACATTCTCTAGCCACGTTTCAAAATATACGTGCATCTGGCCCTATCCCACTGGACGGCTGGCGCAAGATGCTATTGTCCTCCACTTTAAATTCGTTGGATTGCATAGGAAATATCCACCCGTAAACAATAGGTTGCCACTGGTATGCTATCATACCTCCAACGCAGCCACAGCCCACGAGGCCATACACTTGTTTGGAAGGCCATAATTTTTGGGTCTGCCGATCGAACAGAATGCATCACTCGCCATAAATATTCCCCGATTGGATGATGTCGATGTAACCCGAAGCAAGAGGACAAGCAAGTAACGTGTATGATACTGTATAATGTAGCTATATGTGATCATGGCAATACTTTCGACCTTCAAACGAAACTAAAATAATATGATCTTGCCATTGTTTAAATGCACTAACAGCCTGAACTTCTCATGGTGGCCTAAACGGTTTTGATCATCAAAACTCGTGACTGGTGTTCGGATCTCAGTATATAATTTAGCAAGCAGCGGTTGTGCAACTCATTGCGGGTATCGTCTCCACATTCGCCCGTTTCAAGGCAATCGAAGACAATGGTATGGCTAAACCTATTAGCTAACGCAATTTCCATCTGTTGTCCAGCGGGCAGAAAAGAAATTACTCATTCAAGGAATTTTATCTGTGATAGGAGGAATATTGATACATTTTACATTCGGGCACTTCTATACTGTTGGTAAGAATGTTTTGATTATTCATAAAATCAGCTAATATGGTGCCGTACATCATGGGATATACAAAAGCTCGTGTCGACAAGGAAGTTAAAAACGAACTTTCTGTTTGGTTGTCCGCCCTGGCCCTTGGCGTCCAAGGGTTCTCGATGCCTCTCGGCGGAGTACTCGCCAAAAAAATCGGCTTCAGATGGGTCGTCGCAGTCAGCTGTCTACTAGAAAGGTGAGCAAAATTTTTTCAAAGGATTTAATTTGCCTACCACTTTGAAATATCGGTTAGTTCTATCCCCTGCAGTAGCACAATTTTGTGGGAATATAATAGGGTCCCTCTTGTGTTATCGCACTCAACCGAAATCATAATATCATATCATAATATCACCATAATATATCATAATATCATAATATCACCATCATAAATCATCATATGATAGGCAGCGTCAGACTCATGGTCAGTTGGTGATTGGTTAAGGAAATCTGAGCTTGAATGTGCATGTTTGATTTCCACCAACAAACCCTCTATTTAATCCGCGAGGTTCTATCACTCGATTTTGAAGCCCCAAATCGTCCACCTCCGGGTGACGTGGATATGCATTTTGATGGACGTATGCTTCTTGGAAGATTTGCTTAACTCTGGTATACTACAGAATAACAATTAGCTTCATATCAATAAGCAGACAAGTGTGTTGTGGCACCAATACTGGTAGTTGCCCACTCTCTGAAGTAGACGACGGATGCATCGCTATGTGGCGCACCTGAAAAGAGTATACAGTAAAGGAAGGTACTCAGGATGCATGTCGGACATTCCATGCGGCTGATGTCTATTCTCTTGGAGAAAAGATTGCTGGGCAATTAGGGGAGAGTTGGCGTTCAAAAGTGCAGTGTAAACTACCTCAAAACAGTCATTATTCTATGACTAACATATATTTAATAAAACGGCACCAGTGCATGAGAGAAGATAAAGAACAACGCGGACGTCTGAGGAAGTCCTAAAAGACATGATGAAGAACGAATGGCTGGTAGTTCACAAAACTGCCAGAATCCTGGCCGTATAATCTAAGAGTCGACCACGGTGTATTGAAATTGAGCGGGTGATTTCGAGTGCATAAACGTTGGATACGTACTCTTCAAATCTACAAAAGTTTCCCTGGAGAAGCTGATCATATGCTTCGGTATTAAAATCCTTAAGTAAATGTACCAAGAATCACCAGATTGGCCTCTTCCATTGATTCAGACGAACAAATAAGCCCTGGATGTTCCTTGAAAGTTTGCAAACAAAGTGTAATAGTCTATGGACTGCAAGACATCTTCATGGATTAGAGGATGAAGGTGACTACCTGTGCAACAATGATCTGTAATTAAAACTTAATTGACCACCTCGGAAGTCAAATGTCTCGGAGTTGCTTGAAAAGGAAATACACCTATACCTTTGTAGAATATGTATCCATCGTGGAATTCCCGATTACTTTTCCTACAGTAGACGGAGCACTTGAGCGATTGTTGAACAAGTACAGCTGGTGTTCCCAAATAATTACAGATGCAGCAGAGTTTTGCCTGATGACGATTAGTTAAGCGGATAAAACAGCAACAAAGAGAAGCTGAAGTATTTTTACTTATGCATTGCTTAAAACTTCTTGGAGTACTTACGCAACAAATCCAGCACATATACAACCAACAAGAGCATGAGCTCAGGGTCTTATTTAATCTGAAAGAAATTTACAAGAATACAACTCAATCAAAGCAGGCGAGGGGCTTCGAAACAAATGCAGCAACTCGGGCGTTCACCAGGCAGGGTATGTTCTGAGCCTTAATCCCTTATATGCTCAAACTCAGCCTTTGTGTAAAGAAAGCGTCCTTTATATTCAAAGTGACGGAATGAACTTTTGTGGCTCATAGAATACTCCCGCATTTCGACTGTTTCTTTGTACGCATTTCAACTTAAGAGTAGCCCAGATCCCGCACTTATCTCTGATGGTAACCAGGTGCCAAAAAAATTATAAAAGCCGAACGATTATTATTATTGCCGTTTTGAATCACAACGTTTAGCTATGAATCAACCGGAAAGTCGGTTCATTAACTATACTTGGTTCTTAAGTCCTTGATTCAAGGGAACACAACGCATCAATAGAAATCGCTTCCACCAAGAGCAGTCTAGTATCCGGTTTGTTTCAGTGTGCAAATAGTATATGCTGCATAATAAATTAAGTGCCGTAGTTTGAAGGAGAATTGTGGCCTGTCTTTGACTTTGGCAGCCACTTTTATTGCAACCAACGGCAGTGTATGGTAAAATGACATGACATTCCTTAAGAATGGATCCGCAGGTTGTCGCCAGCAACAGTGTAAGGAGAAAAAGTGAAAAATATGTGAAATAAGGAGGAGGACGGCGTCAGCGTTAGACAAATGTAGCTTGTCCGACACACTGAGAGTGCCCGGCTGATGGTGCCACGGTCAAGGAGATATGAGCTATGGAGTTAGCAACCACGTCATAGATCCGTTTAAACTATAATTTTCCATTTTTGTTTTGTTACGCTCAGGGGTTGTTGGCCTCTTTATTCAATGGATTCCTCTACGAAAAGCTAAGAACGTTAATTAGACACGTCTTTATGATAAAAGATACAAGGCTTAAGGCCAATGGTTGAGAACGAAACCGGGAATAAAAGGTTTATGGGATGATTAAATATCAAACGACGAGATCATTTTCTCGCACTAGTAAGCGCTCGATTGGCGTTGTGATTAAGTGTTTAATGATACTCTCGTGCTAAATCATGTGTTTTGGGTGTTGTTTTCCCTGAACGTGATTATATCTTGTGAGTAAACATGGAAAAGTCAATGTAAAATCAAGCAAATAAAATGGTGCACGCCGCCGGAGCAGATGGCTGAGGGACCAATACAAGTAAGTCTTCTGGCATCATCAAAGTGAAAGAGCAGCGCAGACAACAATGAAAACCGCATTATTAAAAGTGTGTAAAATGTTACGGCTGGAAAATGAGTCAGTATTATTTGACTCAATGAAACGTATGTACTGGTACACTCCAAATCACAAAAAACATTTTCAATAGTCCAATTAAGTGTTGGTATCAGTTTAAGGCCACTGCTGTCTTTTGATCCTTCTCTTACTACTTTGTTCCCACAGCGGTGGAGTCTTGGCGACCTACTTCACAATTCAGTACTCGTTTATCGGAGTAATGATCACTTACTCTCTCATCAAAGGGGGTGGTCTTGGTTTGGGTTATTCCGTTGTGCTCGCAGTGGCAACTTCCGTAAGTTGTAATTTTATATGCCACATTTTTTGTAAACTTCCCTTCAGATGTCTCCGTAGTAAGAGAAGTATGCTTCTCAAAGAATCTTTAGCTTGGTTCTTACGGTCCTAGGTTTGAGGTAGAGTTCTGATTGGCTTCAAGGTTAAAAATATTATAAACCAGTGAAAAATCGAATAACGTGATTTGAATTAACTTTCTGTGTAGCTAACAACATAAACCAGTTCTAACATCAAATGATCAGTTGCTTCAGATTGGAGGCCTACATAAAGCAAGTCAATGGAAAAATATGTGACAATGTATGATCCCAAATCACCCAAACACTAGTGTGAGAAACAGTAACTAACGGTGTGGTAAAATTTTATCCACTTATAGTAGTTGTCGTAGTAGCTGTTGTGCTGTGATAGCAGCAAGTCAAACCGTTCAAAGAATAAGAGATAGTTAGAGATTGGTGTCAAAGACACATAGCCTTGTTGCCTCAACTTAACAAGCATTTCAGTGAAAACTGGCACCATAGGGATCGGTTGTGTGAAAAACAGAAAAACTCTTTTGGATGAACGAGACATCTTGTGCCCACCAGGTATCTTTCAACCAACTTTGATTGAACCCAATTTACAGGGTGACAACTGGGTGACTGTCATTTCATTAAGTGTACCTACTGTTTTGGTATGTGTTTAACCGGTCTTTAGAAAGAGAGACGGTTTTTGTATCAGCGTGTTATGCGACTGCAGGCGATCTGGCCCTATAAGAGGAGTGCAGAAAGGTCTGTCAACCCTGAAGTCCGAGAGCTGAAATATAGGAGCCTTTTGATCGTGCGACTAATGAAACAGTTGTTTACTCCATTCTATTATTTTCCAATGTACAGTCGCTTTTAAACGACTTTCAAAGGAGAAATCCCTTCTATTTGATAGTGACCACCGGCTTTGCTCCATTCTTCAATGGGTTGTGTTTGAATAGAACATTTCAGATAGTCAGGGTTTAACTGGAGGAAGAACGGTTGTTGCCGCGTAAAGTAATGCGGTTTATAGCGAGGATTAATGTCCTCTCCGGACGTCTTTATAGAAAAAAGTTGAGATGCCATCAACCCAAAGTTGATAAAGTCCTTCACTTACAATTTTATGTGCCTCCACGTCACAGCTAATGATAGCTCAATTTGTGTACGACCCAGATCATTGCACTGAACGGTTACATGGTCACTGAAGCAAGAGGCAACTTTTCGTTATCAGAACGAACGTTTCACACTTAACGAAGTGTAAGATATTTTAGGGTAGTAGGAGAGATGCTTACCTAGATGTCTTGGATAAAACTGTGGTCACACAGAAGACCGATTTGGCAGTGAGTAATTAAAAAGTGATCCCACATCGATGGAAAACGGTGGAACTCACTGGTACGCCATTGCTAAACCGGTGAATTTCAAATAGAGAACAAATTGTTAAACGTATCGGGATGAGTTACAGAAAATCCTACTGATATTTTGTTTATGACATGGATCGTTAATTTTTGTGAAACAGTTATTTTTATAACTATTTGAGAAAGCCCATTAGATTGATACCAAAATCACTGTCAGGTACTCACACTCCAGGACATTTTTATTTCGTGTTTTACTTATATCTCTGTGTGTAGTTTCTCTGATTGGACCATATAAATATTACACCAAACTTCTCCATAATTTATTTGTCTGTTTGGGGTGCATCTTGAATGTGACAACGAATGACATAACTATTGCTAAAGGTTTTGCGAACTAAAAGGTGTAAGATTTCAAAAACTTCAACCTTCATTGAGTAAGTGACCCTTGACGTGTGTCACGAATCCTTGAATTGTTCCAATAGAAGGGTTCCATGTTCACAAACGCCTCAGCATATACTGCTGTGAGCTGAAAAATTGCCCATCGAATTTTTGTAGTTTTTCTGCCGTAGGTAAATTAATGAACCGCGTCAGCTATATGCTGATTATGGCAAAGCTCTCATGGAACTTCACACATATCTGATGGAAAGCTGAATGTCAGGACACAGTGTAGTGAAATACGATGTTTTAATATGGTGTTTTGGTTGTCTTGGGCAGCCTTTTCCAAGAATTTCCGCAAACTAAAGGTGCAGCCGTCTTTATTTTTCGTGGGTAAACATACTTCTCGGTGTTTTCTAGAACGCGCAGTGATAAAATCAACAACAGTCAACGGAACAACAGAAATCTGGACAGTACTAACCAGGAGTTACCTGAAACCTCATAATTTAAAGTGACCGCCAGTTTCCTTACCAGTTTTATATTTTTGATTGGGACAGAGGAAATCAAGATAGTTTAAAAAGGTGATTGATAGTACACAAATCACACTTTCTTATTCTTGATACAGGATATACTAGCTCTATCATCAGCTCATAGAATTTCATGTTTGTCTTCTATTTTGTCTCGGCATCCAAAGGAGATATTAATTTTACTACCCGGTTGACTATTAGTTCTTGTCCAGACACCGTGGTAAAACTGCAGCTTTTCCTTTAGACGAATTATGTTCCATTTATCAGAAAACTGCCTGTATGTTTGTTCCACGCATTTCTTTTAACTCACTTCGTTTCAAGGAATGATGCCATTATCGGTCACCGATAAAAAATTTATGGCCAGAATGAGTTGGAAACATAAATATCCTTGGGCGTGAGAGAAAAGTGCAGACGAGTGTTCGACCTGCTATTCCCTGGTAATATACACTTGTGTACAGCACAAAGAGTCAAAGTTCTATCTAGGCATACAAAACGGGGCTTCATATAACACAGAATTAACATGTATTCATCCACCTACAGAGCGAATGGACAGCTGATTCTGTGCCGCCAGAAACAGACAAACCTTACAGTGGTGCGCAAGCATCTAAGTTGGAAAACTGCCACACAAGATCGATCCACATAAATTTTCAGGTGTTATACACCATTGGATTTGGTCTGGTGTACAACCACATTGTTGCATTGCCAAACCTCCATGGNGTGTACAACCACATTGTTGCATTGCCAAGACCTCCATGGCAAGTGACAGAAGGAGCCTGCTGAACTTGGCCTAGTATTTAGGAGGGGGTCAGTTACTATTTAGATAGTATATACATACCATGTATATGTGTATGTGTATAGAGTAGAAGCAAAAAGAATATACAAAATTGAAAGATTCCATCAAGCCCGCATAAACCAAATAACTGTTTGTACAAAAGCACGAAAGACTCGTTCAGCTTGCCCAGAATAATCCGAAATAGCGGTCACAATATTTTATTTCAAGAGATATTTGGAACATTCCTAGGGGTAGGTAACGAATCCGGCATGTTTGACAATGAACTTCTTTAAACAAAAAATAGCTTGAGAAGATGCTTTTTCTTCGAAAACAGAATCATAACGTTGGCAGGTCAAAATGTAAGTGGATCAGTTGGGTGCGGTGACTAGGGAAGATTGAACAAGTCTACTGCTCCGATACATATGTGAAGCCGACTCATCCTTAGAGGGGAGATAGGCATCCAAAAATAAGTAAGTGGATAGTATTTTCTCATTCTTTTTGACCGGTTTCCCTTTGGAGTGCCTAAATAATGGTTTGAGCAAGAAGGCGGAAATGGATGCCATTCAATCTTTGCGATGAAAACAGATTAACGGGAATTCAGCAACCATGTGCGTCCAAAGAATTTCCAACAGGGTAAAAATTGAACATCCTCACCATACAACGTCGAACTATCCTATTAGAACCGAAATTGCTCGACTTCATTTACTAGGACTTAGACTTGTTTTGTGCCTGATAAGCCTGTCAAAACTGCTTTTTTGCAGCACAGATGATGACCGATGTAAGAAGTGCTGGGAAGAAGTCTTTTTTTCTAGAGCTTCAAACGGTTCTCATCTTCTACTTCTACAAAGCTTCTGTACTATATGCGAATTTATGTAATTACCCTCTTTTGTGAAGACACCGACCGAAAGTGTTGTCTTATAAAAAGCCGTCCATCTGTTTAACTTGATAGACGGATCAACAGGTCACCTCCGCTTGTAAATATTCCTTGCTCCTTGCTCTACACCGTGTGAACAAGGTTGAGCGATACTCATATTATTGGAGCCGTCATCCATGAAAAGGATATTCATTGCACTTGTTGTCCACTTCCTACCACCCAGAGACTTGCGTTTTATCTCTATATGTCCACGAATTTTTCTCATTCAGTGCTAATACAGGATAGACGCTTTGTAGGCATGAATTTAGGAATCGTTGAGAGTGTCTAGTAGCCCGTATGAACTGCTCAGAATTTTTCCGTGTTTAGTGGTTTCCTGCAAGACGTGGCCTCGTGGTCGGGCTCACTGTTGCTGGCTTCGGAATGGGTGCTCTTGTCTTCACGCCTGTACAAACAGCGTTTATCAACCCCCATAACGTTTTGGTGGACAATGTAACCAGGTGAGAAAAGCGACGGCACTCACCATTTTTACATTTACTAAAAAACCGTCCCTATTTGGTCATCTTACTGCGGAACGAATTGTCACTGATACAGACCAAAAAATCCTTTAATCCTTTTAGCCTCAAAGTCGATTTCCCAAATTGCTTTTTCTCGAGTGGTTTGCCATTCGAATACCGCTCTGACTTAGGTAGCACGCAATCCTCCACATTTTGTTGTCGTTTGGTCACAGGATATGGGCAAGTGAGTAGGAATTGTACCGGTTATCACCGGTTTAAACTCTTCGTCTATCCAGGCTCTTACCATTGGCTATTAAACGTGTTCTGATTATGCTTGAAGACTCAATTTGTCCCCGTGTGGTTCTGCACCACTTGCATCGGAGAGAAATGATGACACTAGAATAATTTACTCCGGCTAAAAGTGTTTTATGGAGGTAATGGATGAAAGCTTCCTCTGTGGAATGGAAACTTTTCTAGGCATAGCGCCAGTCTGCCTTGTCACTTACCTTCATATATGTGGTTTCTTTTAACGTTGTGTTAACCACAGTCACCCGCCAGATTAAATAAGGAAAGAGTTGCAAGTAAACTGTCCTATCAGGTTCAGCAAATCCATAGAATTGTTGCCTATTTGTTCAACAAAACTTGTTTTGTACTTTACTGGATAAAATAAATTCAGGTACTGGTAATCACCGAGTAGCACCCAATACACACACCCATCTTTTTTTTAAAAAAAGAAGTTTACTTAATGATGGAATCGATGTATCAAAATCTTACTGAGTTCTCCATGTTTCAAACCCGTACTTTTGAATTCCAGTGCAGGCCGTCCGAAACCCTATGAAATCATTTTGTGGCTTCGCAATCCTCACTACTTTTCGTTGATGAATTGACACGCAAGAACGCTGATTGCGCGCGCGCGATTGCACTTGCGTGCGAGAGTGATTTACACACACCAGTATCTGCGCGAATTTGATTTCCTTTATCACTTTGTGACCTGAAGCAAACACGCATACATTGATGCCATGCTTCAGGTTAGTTCAAATATCGGATGCATTTTGTCTAGTCACCACTGTCCTGGTTCCGAACTGCCCACCAGCCCAGTGTCTTCACATTGATTTTCGTGTTAAAGGTAGTAATGCTAAGGCTTCTAAATACTGTGTTCTCCAGACAAGTCAACGGTAGTGAATGTAGTCCAAAGGTTAAAGTTCAAAGTTCAACATGATGAATGCTTTTCAGCAGACCGCTTATCATCATGCCTAATTAATAAGCTCGAATAAGATAGAGATGCGTAGCCTTCCAAGGAAGATGGCATCTGTCTAATTAAATCATTCATTTGTGTGAACGGTTAGCGGGTTTCGAACGTCACTTTAAGATTACAACAACGTTTTGTTTGTCGCGGTTGCCTGCACATTTTAATATTGTTCAGGAAAAAAAGTACCATGATAGTTTTGTCTGATTAGGTTTACAATTATTAACTGTTATTACTTCTGGGTGAAATTTCCAAAGGCAATTCACCGACAAGGATGTCCTGGATCGCGTTCCAAAGGTTTTTCTTCTACTTGGTGGAATATTGCTCGGTCTGCAAATAATTGGGTTCTGCTTACTTCGTCAAAGGCCGACATCGGTGAGTTTTGTTTTCATTAATCGAAGATAGGGCCTATCTAAGTCAAATCGCCTGAACTCATCAGTTATTGCGAATTTAGAAAATACACCAATGGTGTTGTCGTCTCTAAGATGGGATAGTTTTTTGGACCAGGGTACTTTTGAGGGAAAGACTTGCACCCCTGTAAGATTGCCTTGGATAAGTAGCTCAATAGTGGCCGAAGAGTCATTGCCGTTTCACTGGCTGGGCAGTTGGTGAGTGGTGTACCCTGCTATGATGTGCTACTTCAGTGTCATTCACATTCAGTATGCCTCTGCATCCAATTGCCCATTACCTTCACAGCATAATTATTTGGTGTAATGTGTGCACAGTGTCAAAGTATGTTGACATGTTCTGTTGTTTGTTTCTCTTGTTTGTTTCTTTCCCTTATTTCTTGCCTGCTAACTCTATCAACGGCAGAGGTGACACAGTGGTTAAGTCGCAAGCTTATCATTCGGAAGGTTCACGGTTCACACCCAACCCAACAATGGTGATCACTCTGCTCAGGCCTGGACAGTCTGGCAGTATCCCAGGCCTCGTGCTTCCTTTGGGTTACATGGCAGCTAGGCACCGATATGGGGCTACAGCTGAACGATCCAATTAGATTCCGACCTCGGTGAAGTGTACTTCACGACTTCTTCTCAATGGGGCTAAGTCATTGAAACGAGTCACGTAAAGAGCATAGGGATAGCACCTACAGAAAACATCATTCTCGATTCATCAAACAGAAGTGAGACGCGCTTCTAGTAAAAGTACTCACTTCCTCACCAATGTAGCTGCTGTCACACCGTAAAATGTAGTATGCAATTCGCAACTAATTCCGATTTGGAGACCTTCATCAAAGCTCAATACGGTAACCTAATTTTTTTCTATGCATACTTATGTAACGAATAAGTACTTGCCCAAGGGTTAGCTGGCAAATTTTTCAAGTGGCATGGAAAACAGGCCGCCTATGAGGCTGAAGTATAGTTTGGAAACTCAACGTAAATCAACAGAATATAGTAACAAAATGCCACCTTGCTGCTGTCCTCTAGGCAACGGGTAAAATTGGCAAAGCCACGACTTGAACGTACGCTCAGTTTCTCAGGTTTATTCTACACCGACAATTTTGAAACCGTTTTGCACTGCTAGGTTTTGCGTGATTATCTAACATGCAGTTTATTGGCTGTTTACGCAAAGCTATTAGCTCCAAACCATACTGATGGGTGGACACTATGCGGTAGTGTATTCAGTCTGCCAAGATGTTTATTCCGATTATTATTAAAAAGTTAAATTTGTTTTAATCCATCAGGTTTCTTTTTGTTTCAGGCGGAACCTACTGAAAAAACCGATACTGCCGCTAGAACCAAGCCATCCCAGGAGGAGAATCAGGTAAATTCACAGTCTCATAAGCACGCAGCCTTCTGCAAGCAACAAGAATAGCTATGAGTACTGAGCTTAGGAATATTCAGCAGTTGGGGCAAGTGTTGCACCCTTCTGTTTAAACCAACATGTCGCTTATCGCCAGGGCTCGAAATTCAGGCTTCTCTATGCTGTCAACGAAGCGGGATTTCGAGTGTTCCGGTAAAAATATTCCAGCGTATGCATGTACAAAGTTGTCAGATGAGGCTTAGCGAGAATCAAAGGAAGGCACGAGGTTAGATGAATGCTATATGAATGCATTGTTCGAAAGTTCCACTGGTCATGTTTCTTACTTTTTCAGAGTGACACTGCGGCCGAGGAAAAACGGTGAGTATAACATCAACAAGCTGCTAAGCCATCTGTCGTTTTAAATGTATGATTTCATATCCTACACTTCAGGCTCATGCAAGCTCACGCTTAACCGAACTTTCAGAATAAAGACGCGCACCCCACAGTAAATTTAGTTTCACATATTGCTTCAACTTTGGCATAGCGGAATAACAGTGGTACAACGATACAATACAATATTACGATATTTTAAGTGGGAGACTAAAAGAACGAACCATCACCTGTGTAATAATATGGTTTTCTTCAATAAGGATTGATCCCCCCGGCTTGGCTAGATTGGATCCTCCTTGGTAATCATTACCTGTCGGGATGAAACAAGAACACACGTCTGATGTTCTGCAGTAGTTGGCTACATCTCGAGCCAATTTGTTTGTATCTGAAAGAAAAGACGCTTTACGTTAACTGCGACTTGTTCCAGCTAAGTGATCAATAGTTCGTAATTCCTTAATACGACCAGATCACCGATTTTGCCCTTTACTTGTGAATCAAACGTGCTTTCAAATTTTTCCTCCGCGTGAGAAATATCTTCTATTGTTCTCCAAAAGAAGTACCGTTCCGGATGTATACGTCTTCCCAGCCGCTCCATCCATGTTTGCTTTCAGTGAATCCGTCGTTGAAGCCCTACTCTGTCAAATTAGACGCTTAGCTCACAAAGTCATTGTGTATAAAAGAATAGATAACAAATCAGAATGCAAAAATCAGCCATGCACCTGTTTTAAAAAGTCACGCTTTGTTCATCGTGAGAACACACGCAGTTTACATCCTTCCAATTGACTCTTAAAATCCTGCCCCGGCGTAGCTACTTAGTAGCACTGTAACGGTTATTACTGCCGATTAAACGTGCTATTAGTATCAATGTCAGTTTTGAAGCGCCGTCCTCCATTCGATGGAAGGTTGGTACGGAAATGGTGGAACGCTCTGCAATGTTTGTTCATTATTCTGTAAATTTCAAAGAACGTCAAAATTCCAAGAGGACGCTTGAGAATATTCACTTTTCAGCAATTCTACGGAGGCAGTATTTTTACTATCGTATCTGATGGCTTGTAACTGCCTAGTTTGGGTTTGGCAATAAGCAATTCTGCACTCGAGGGTGGCGCACGTTTTATCTGGCACCGTGACCAGACTACGAACGAAGGTTCTGTGGCCACAGCTCGGCAATGAGGATAACAAAGGTGGTGGTAATGGTGACGATGATAATCATATCAGCTATGAATTCGGTAACAAGTAGGTGGATTATGAGCATGATGATAGCGATGTTGACCGAGGGATTCGGGGTGAAGGACTTACTTTAGACGAGTTTCTTATGTTAATTCTGGGACACCACGCCAAGAATTTGATGCTTCTGCAACTGATTCATTATATGCTAATGAATATTTTGTATTCAGACCTTTCACGCCTGATGAGGATGTAGAAAGGAAGCCATTTGCCATGGTTATACAAACAAAGGACGATCCAAGGGAGCACTGTGAAATGCCGTAAGATTAACCCGTTGTAACCGTGTGGTGTGTCACGTTAACTGCGTGTCGTGCACTTTTCTACACCGGGGGATAATCATACCCTTGCACCTATTTACTTTTCTAACAAAAATTAAGCCTACATAGTTTGATTTGTGTGCCACTGAAAGTCTGCACAGCCTCGGCATAACAATCAGCCATAATCTCACAGCGTTAACAAATGAGTAATTATTTCGAAGTCACCATTTCATCGTGCACCTCTCAACCATGGAACCTGGAAATGCACTTCCTAAACAAATATCAAAACAAAACACAGCCGTTCACCACATTGCATTCTCGTGCTAATTCGTGTGAAACCAGTTCCATTTTGCCTAACTTTCAGGGTAGAAAACTTGTCACCAAAGCAAGTGATCCGTCGCTTGGACTTTTACCTCCTTTGGATTGTAATGTTTTGCAATGTCATACCCGTTACAATCATTACATCGGCCTTTAAGGTGAGCATGGATAATACCTTCGAACATTGCTTTACCGTGTTATTATTATTACTATTGTTATTCTGTGTTGTGATGTTAATGCACGTTTTCTTTATCATTGCAGTATTTTGGACAGAAGTATATATCTGACGATCGCTTCCTGTCGATAGTGGCGACCACATCGTCGCTGTTTAATTCCTCTGGCCGAATAGCTTGGGGCGCGCTGGTGGATAGAATTTCTTTCAAGGTTTGTCCGTTACTTCTCATTGATTGGATAATCTTCAACACATGTGCAATTACTGATCTAGTTAGCGTTTAACTTGCCTCGACAACCTGACTGCTGATGAAGAGTCTGAATGTTTGCCACAAAGAGGTATCAATCCTAGCCTATCACCAAGACATCAACCGGGAATTTAATGTCGTATTCTTGATATGTATAGGGTCAGCTCAGACAGATCTCAAACTTGTGAGACCCGAAGGCTTCATCTGCAGACTTATCAGTCTAGGACTACCGGTGAAAGGAAGAAGGCCTTTGATGCGGAGTTATTTATTAGAAAATGCTGGAAAATGCCAACTATTGGACAGGGAAGCAAAACTCTCATTTGCATCTTATTTGCAAAAACTGGACATCCATCTGCTCCTGAACGCAGCTTCTTGAACTTTCCTGGATATTCATTGACAACAATCATTCATTGCTCAAATCCAAGCAAAGGTTACACAGCGACTCCACAAATTCCACAACAGATCTCCTTTTTTAAAGAGACGTAAGGCGGAATCCCAAGAACAACACGTACTACTCGCATGCCTCTTCCATCAGTAGTATCACCTTTACACCTGTAATCTGTGCGCACTGACGATCATGTTGACAAAACGCTCACGGCCCCATCAGTAGTATCACCGTTTCACCGGTAATGTGTGCGCGCTGACGATCATGTTGACAAAACGCTCACGATGTCGGTGAGGAGACCAAATGATTAGGCTGGAAACTACTCATCGCATGGCCACATGATGGATCTTTCTGTGCGTTTCTGATGAATCGTCATGCAGGCAAGGTGACTCTAGAAGCGAGACACCACACATGATGGACAGCCTCATATCAGTACTGGGGGCGTAATCCTCCTTTCAGGTGGACACAAAACGATAATGTCCATGCCGAAGATTATATTGTTTGAGTTCAGCGGTGCCCCCTTCCCCATTTGATAAAATGGTGGGGCTAGCCCTTTCACCTTCAGCGCGAGTAGCTAAGTTTGCGGCAGGTTTTTTCTTCGGATGTGGTCACATCCGGGGTAGCTGGTATCGTTGATGCACCGGCTACTTTAAACTTCGAGCCACATGAGGCATTGTTAGTTTTGGTGTCATCACTGATTCCACTCTGATTACTTACTCAAGGTAATAGTCGAGTTGTTAAGGTGTGGATAGGTAAGTGTGAGATCCGTGGATATACAAGGACCTAATATGATGCACCTGTAATAGACAACACAGTTAAATTGCATTGTGTGAAAAATATTATCTCGCGTCGTGGATATCACTCCATGCCGTATCTCAAAAGATGGGATTGTCGCATAGATGATGTGCCACCTGATTTGATGGTTTTTGCCGGTTTAGCGGTTTCATAACCCACGATGACTATCGGCTGTCTAAATAGTCTATATAGTTTGGGTCTCTGTGATTTGGAGCATGCAGTAATGTGTAATGCGGCTTTAGACAGCCGATAGTCAAGCTGGGTTATGAAACCGCTAAACCGGCAAAAACCATCAAATCAGGTGGCACATCATCTATGCGACAATCCCATCTTTTGAGATACGGCATGGAGTGATATCCACGACGCGAGATAATATTTTTCACACAATGCAATTTAACTGTGTTGTCTATTACAGGTGCATCATATTAGGTCCTTGTATATCCACGGATCTCACACTTACCTATCCTCACCTTAACAACTCGNTGCCACAAAGAGGTATCAATCCTAGCCTATCACCAAGACAGCAACCGGGAATTTAACGTCGTATTCTTGATATGAATAGGGTTAGCTCAGACAGACCTTAAACTTGTGAGACCCGAAGGCTTTATCTGCAGACTTATCAGTCTAGGACTACCGGTGAAAGGAAGAAGGCCTTTGATGCGGAGTTATTTATTAGAAAATGCTGGAAAATGCCAACTATTGGACAGGGAAGCAAAACTCTCATTTGCATCTTATTTGCAAAAACTGGACATCCATCTGCTCCTGAACGCAGCTTCTTGAACTTTCCTGGATATTCATTGACAACAATCATTCATTGCTCAAATCCAAGCAAAGGTTACACAGCGACTCCACAAATTCCACAACAGATCTCCTTTTTTAAAGAGACGTAAGGCGGAATCCCAAGAACAACACGTACTACTCGCATGCCTCTTCCATCAGTAGTATCACCTTTACACCTGTAATCTGTGCGCACTGACGATCATGTTGACAAAACGCTCACGGTGTCGGTGAGGAGACCAAATGATTGGGCTGGAAACTACTCATCGCATGGCCACATGATGGATCTTTCTGTGCGTTTCTGATGAATCGTCATGCAGGCAAGGTGACTCTAGAAGCGAGACACCACACATGATGGACAGTCTCATATCAGTACTGGAGGCGTAATCCTCCTTTCAGGTGGACACAAAACGATAATGTCCATGCCGAAGAGTATATTGTTTGAGTTCAGCGGTGCCCCCTTCCCCATCTGATAAAACGGTGCGGCTAGCGCTTCCACCCTCAACGCAAGTAGCTAAGTTTGCGGCAGGTTTTTTTTCGGATGTGGTCACATCCAGGGTGGCTGGTATTGTTGATGCGATTTCGATGCACCGGCTACTTTAAACTTCGAGCCGCATGAGAAACTGTTAGTTTTGGTGTCATCACTGATTCCACTTTGATTACTTATTCAAGGTAATAATCAGGTTGTTGAGGTGTGGATAGGTAAGCGTGAGATCCGTGGATGTGCAAGAACTCAATGCGATGCACCTGTGATGGGCAACACAGTTAAACTGCATTGTGTGAAAAATATTATGTTGTGTCAGTTTCTCAAATGGATGTCACTGAAGCTAGTGTCTCAACATACTATGGGATCTGTCACATAGATGATATGATTATGTAAGGTCAATGCCACATGTTTCGACGGTTTTTGTCAGTTTAGGGGAGAAGAGTTTCCCAACCCAGCTTGACTATCGGATGTCTAAGGCTGTTTGCGAAATTCCGCATTACTGCATGCTCCCAATCACAGAGACTCGAAATTTGTATATATATATA